CTGTTGAACCAACCTGTTGAAGCAACCTGTTGAACCGACCTGTTGAACCAACCTGTTGAAGCAACCTGTTGAAGCAACCTGTTGAACTGACCTGTTGAACCAACCAGTTGAACCAACCTGTTGAACCAACCTGTTGAAGCAACCCGTTCCCCCGCTCGCCTGTGGGGGCGCTGCACCAAGAACTACTGAAAGGAACGACAAAAACCTCTGAAGACACGTCTTCTTCTTCTTCTTCTGTAAATAAAAATAAAAACGAAGTGGCATCAAGTTTTAGCAGTTTTAGGAGTTATATTTTGTCATTTTTCAACAATGGACTCAGCATGAGCAGAAGATGAGACAGAAGACCATGGAGAATATTGTTTTCCACACAAGACAGCTGACGGCTCCGTATAAGAGAAATGTGTGTTTGTTTGTCCTGTGGAGCGGGGGCCGGTCTGTTTACATTCACACTGTACTGGAACCGTGCTGGAGTTCTCTTCTACCAGACTGAGACCTAGGTTTTAGCCCGGGCCAGAGTTCACCTTTTTGTTCCATGACAGAGTTCGATGGCGTGTTCACACCTCCCTAAACGAACCGGACTTTCTAGGAAAACGAGCTGGAGTTGGATTAAAGCGACTAAACAGGGCTGCTGTGAATGCAGCCTTACAATGCTGTGATTGCTAGTATCACTCAGTCTCCTGTGAATAGTAAACAGCCATCAGTGTGCTAATGACCCATTGTTAGGCTGATGGTCCTTCTTGATCATGTGAGCAGCTGGTTTGGGTTGTCAACAGAAAACTGGTTGATCCACTCTGAGAAGTAATGGAGTAGGAGAAGGTCCTTTTGTCTAGTTCAGTCCTCATTGAGGGAACACTGCAGGTAATAATGTCCTGAGAGCGCACGCTGTAGCTGCACTCACGCAGAGACATGTAGGAGGAGATGTATGAAGGCAGCAGACCAAGAAATGATGTAAAGATGAAAATGTACCAGTGGGAGAGTCTGCGTGAAGTTAATGGTGACCAGTTAACCAGTGAATACTGGGTGCAGTGGTGGGAACGATAGTTACAGCCAGTTATGAATCTTAGTGCACCATGATAGACAGCATCAAACATCTGCAGCATCCAACATCTGCAGCATCCAACATCTGCAGCATCAAACATCTGCAGGGTTCTTGCAGGAGCGTTCATGTAAATAATGTCACTGTAATCAATGGAGGGAAGGAAAGTCACAGATACAAGGTGTTTCCTAACATTCAGGGTTAGACTGGATCTGTTTCTGAAAAAGAAACCCAGTTTAACTTTCAGTTTCTTTACCAAGTTTTCCACATGGAGCTTAAAAGAGAGATGTGAGTTGACCAAGATACACAAATATTTATAGGAATCAACAAACTCAATGGGGACACCATTTGAGGATAAAATCAGAGGAAGAACTGCTGGGACCGACTTCCTGTTTGAAAAAAGCATCTCTAAGGCCACAAAGTTTGTTTTCTCAGTCATCCAGGTATATAACAACAAAAAAGGTTGAATCATGTCATCTGGACTTCGTTTTTTTGTTAAAAAGAAACGTTTCGCCCCTCATCCAAGAGGCTTCGTCAGTCTGAGGCCTAGCCATCTTGGATGAGGGGCGAAACGTTTCTTTTTAACAAAAAAACGAAGTC